AGGATCCTGGAACTCTCAGTTCTGAAGAACCTTTGAGGGTAGTGTCTTTTTGTGTCTCCAAAATGCCTTTTCTCAGATACTCTTAAATTTAATTAGTTGATTAACCTTTATTTTTTGTGAAGAAGTGCAGTAGCAAACTTTTGTGAATTTTTGCAAAGTGTTTTTTCTTCCCCCTTCTGGTATTGTAATTATTTGTCAAACGTAATTTCAGATCTTGTTCTAAGGCTCTTCTCCTTAATCCATTTAGGTCAAGATGATTTGGTTAGACAGCCTGAGATGAGGCTTCTAAACCAAACACCAGAACAAGAACGCCCTCGCATCTTGCCCCCAGACCAGCGTCCTCCTGAGCCACCAGAACCACCACCTCTCACTGAAGAAGACGACCTAGATTATCGGACAGAAAACCAGCATTTGCCTATTTCTAGCTCTTCAGGAACGGATCCTCATGCTGGGGTGAAAGCTGCTCTTCTACAACTGCTTTCTCAGCATCAGGTTCAGCCAACTGAGGAACCAGTAACAACTAGTGTGGATTATCAGGCAAGAGACTCCTATGTAACTGACTACAAGGATAATTTTGGATCTTCTTTCTCTTCTGCCCATTATGGTGGTAGTGATGGAATAGGAAGTGGATCATCTGGGGCACTGGAAAGGAGAAGCTTCATTGGAAATTCAGATATTCAGTCTTTGGATAACTACAGTACTGCTTCATCTCACTCTGGTGGTGCACCTCAACCTCCTGCCTTTTCAGAACCATTTCCCAGCTCAGTAACTGGTTATGGAGACATTTACCTCAACACTGGTCCCCTGCTATTTAGTGGAGATAAGGACCATAGGTTTGAATATAGCCATGGCCCTATTGCAGTTCTGGGAAACAGTGGCGACACTTCCACAGGGTCAGAAAGTACTCATTCTTTGTCCACAAAGATGCACAACTATAGTTATGGAAGTAATTTACAAGAAAACCCTAGTGGCATTAGCCACATCCATGGACAAACTTGGACTTCTCCAGCCCAAGGACCTGGATATTCCCAAGGATACAGAGGACACATTAGCACATCAACAGTCAGAGGGCGAGGCAGAGGATTACCATACTGAGTATCTGTTTTTCCTCAGGCACATCATTTTTATCTGGAAAGACTTTTTTTCTAGCTGCAGTTTAAAGCAGCAATCCAATAGACTTGAATAATGTTAATTCAACAGCTTTATTTTTATGTGGAAAAGGGTCTTGCATACAGTAGGAAAATTTAAACTGCTTAAAACTCATGCTGTCTGAAAACTAGATCAATTGAGTGTACATGTTCACAAATTCTAGTTATGAATTTTATTTTGTATTTTGGCAGTTTTAAGTGGATGCTAAATTTAGGGACATCAGCTTTTTATGGCACTCTTTCAGATCTTCTGAACTATGCACATTTGTGCTTTTTTTGTAAGTTTGGACCAACTTTTATGTAAAAAATTTTACAACAATCAAAGCAGGGCACTGATTTATTTGGTATTTTTCTTTTTACAAAACTACCTTTAGTCAAAGGTCACTGTCAGTCTTTGCACTGCTTTCAGTGTTATTGTGGAAGGTGTACTTTGTGCTCATTTCAGATAATAAAACACAACCTTTCTCTTGATGCAACAATTTTATAAATATTTGGTCAATGTTATTTTTTCTTTAAAAAAAAAGGATGGTGTAGTAAAATGTTTCCCCATCTCCCAGACATGTTTGTATCAAAACTGTTTTACTTGAATGGTAAGTGCCTTAACGTGTAAGTTTAAGGTCTGCGAAAATTCTCACATTTTTCTTATAAAGGAAATTCCCTTTCTTTAAGGTTATTTTGTAGCTTGATTCAAAGATTAATACTTAAATATAGATACACTACATTAAAACAGAGATAATTATAGGCAACTTGGATAGAGTGCATTTTAAAGTGGCATATTTGCCATTTATGTCAGTTAAGCCAATTTAGTAGGTATACTAAGTTTTCTCTTCATTGAAATGACCTTCCCCAAACTGAATTTACTGAGAGAATGTCAATGTGAAGACGTTAAAAAAAGGTAGGTTTCCCTCAACTTTTCTCTAAAAGCTGTATTAACTTCTGTAGTCCCTCTGCCAAATAAGATCTACTTTATACTGAGCTATGGATGGTAAAATAGACTGTAAAGACAATGAGAGAAATCTTTTTCTTCAGTGTCATTGGTAATAGTTAATGAGTTTTGTGTGGAAAGCTGACACTGTCTCCTCTTTACCACATATAAAAGCATTATGGAAAGCCTCCAAGGTTAAAGACCAGTATTTAATGCAACATAGAACATTTAGCAGTTCAAATTTTCTGGAAACTGGGATTGTGCCAATTAATCCTTTCTATATTCAGCTATTCCATTGATCATTGTAATACTTGATTTGAACAACAAAAAAAATTACTGTAGCTAAAATTGCTACCAGAAACCACCACTCCAGTTTTATATTAGTTATACTTTCCAGCATGTTTTCCTCTGAGAACAGCAGTCTCTCTCTCTCCTGCAGAGAGGGGATATGGCTATATTTTCCACGTACTGAAAAGAATGTTTAATAGCCCATATTGGATACAATTTTCCAACTGATTATCCAGTTGATAAATTGATACATTATGTAAGAGTGTTTAATTACTTTTAAAAAGGTCAAATTTCTACTTACACTATTACCAGTAGAGTCATGTCAGTGACGTCTTGGATTTTCAGATTAGAAGCCAAAGTTGTCTATTTCATTTAAAATTCTAATTTATGACTAATTATTGCAGCATACGGTGTGAAGAACATTAAAATGTAGCTAAATAGTGTTCAAGTATCTGCAGTTGCATCATGGTGAGTCTTATCTCTTTAGACTTCCCTCTAAATCTCATAGTTATCCCAGTTCTCATCAGCCACACTAGAGAATCCTGCTGTCTGAAAATAAAAGCAGCTAAGCTGGAAACAAATATTTGTGACCTGAATAGCCTGTGTTTAAAAGAAATTAAACACTTTATATAAAATGACACTGTGTTTGAATAGTTTTTCTTGAGTTAAACACATCTTAGTATTTTTTGCAGGAGAGAATAAATGCAAGCAAAATAGTGTTAGTATTGTCGTGTTCAGCTATAGCGTCTTACCATTTTTATAAAAGTATGCTCAGATAAAACAAAAGCCAGGCTCAACAATAAAAATCTAGCAAAAGTTAGGTGTAAAATCTGGCAAAAGGCTTTCAAATCCATATACAACCTTTGTGGCAAGAAATGCATGGTCAAATATTAATGTGTACTGCACTTCAAAAAAAATAGCCTTGTGAAACTTCCCTAAGAAGCAGGTAAGTCCAAATGAAAAGTAGATGATAAAGAACAAATCAGGAATAAGTGATTTTGACTTTCAAAAATAAAATGTGAGGAAGAAATCATACCTCTTACAGCTTTCTGCATAGAGGTAAACTTTCAAGTCAGATGATACACTTATTTCACTAAAGTTTCTGTAAAAAGCCAGCCTCTCTTGTCCACATAAATAGTAATAGAGCAGTTTGATTTATGAACTGAAATACTGAGACAATTAAGGTGTTCCATGTAGTTAGAAACTTTGGCATGTTAATGTATTGGTTAATATCAAAACATCTGACTAATTTTAGACTTTGATCTTGACTGAATAAGAATAAAAGAGCAATTAGAAAAGGACACAAAGCTGATTTCCAAATGACAACAAATGCATTAAGATTTAGCAAGTCCATTCACATGCCATTGCTGGTATATGTATTGCACAGTGATTTTCTACTAATTTTAGTTCAAGCAATACTGGCCTAACATTTGAAAACCAATGGTCCACACTGTTCAAATAATTCAGAAAGTCAGGCTGAATTACTCAGCCACAATAATCTTGCCTCTTTTAAAACCCAGGCAATAGATTTCTCCCACTTCCAGCCCTTGTATGACATTTTGCTACCCTGCAAGGATCAGAACAATTTTAGGTTATGAGCCCTATGCCGCTCCCCTTACAAGCAGCCCAGATAAGGAGGTCATGTCTCCATAGTGTACAGTTCTTTAGCAATCCCAGGCTATGACTCAGCCCTCAGAAGGCTGCAAAACATGAGAGCAACACCCGTGGCTGCTCTAAGGGCTGGTCCCCACTTAGTCCGGACTTCGGACTAAGGTACGCAAATTCAGCTACGTTAATAACGTAGCTGAATTT